TCCACATGTCACAAAAAAGTAAATATAAACACATTAAAAATTGCTCTAGGCCAGGCGCAGTGGCTCATGCCTATAATCCCAACACTTTGGGAGGCCGAGGCGGGCGGATCATGAGGTCAGGATATCGAGACCATCCTGGCCATGGTGAAACCCCGTCTCTACTAAAACATACAAAAAATTAGCCGAGTGTGGTGGCGCAAGCCTGTAGTCCCAGCTATTCAGGAGGCTGAGGCAGGGGAATCTCTTGAATCTGGGAGACAGAGGTTGCAGTGAGCTGAGATTATGCCACTGTACTCCAGCCTGGTGAAAGAGCAAGACTGTCTCAAAAAAAAAAAAAAATTGCTCTAAACAACATTAAACTCTTCCATTCCATATCCCTCTCATCTGCCTATATTTAGATTTCATTATACACATTTCAAAAAAAGACAATGACCAAAAAACAGAAGAAATAAAAATAGTGAGCCCTTTATCAAAATCCTAGGAATTATTAAACACAGTACCAACTCCCAGGGTGATATGAGAATTCAATCACATAATGTGTTATTCCGGCACAGTGCTCTAACATACTCTTGAGCACATAGTACCTGCTAACGAGCATGTAGTACCTGCTAACTAAGCATTGCATTAGTACATGTGTACATGTGTTTCAAATGCAGCCTCATTCAGATATTGCTGCCTTCTGTTTCCTCTGTAAACCTTAAAGAGCCAGCAAAGAATATGACACTTTTGTCTTCATTTGCCCTGTAAGTATTTGTGCTGTGATGAGAATGCTGAGTATAAGGAACTCTGGGCTTTGCCTGCTTTCTCCAGCTAATGCTAATGATGAGCCCAGGAGGAGCAACATCAGCACTGACAGAGGACTTGTTTAAAACACCCATCCATGGATCCTTTCCAAACCTGCAGAATCACGTTATGTAGAGTGGGGCTACAGTTACCAAGCAGTTTTTAAGCTCATTAAAGCTTGAGAGAAGGCTGGGCGTGGTGGCTCATTGCCTGTAATGCCAGCACTTTGGGAGGCCGAGGTGGGTAGATCACGAGGTCAAGAGTTTGAGACCAGCCTGACCAACATGGTGAAACGCCAGCTCCACACTGGGTGCAGTGGCGGATGCCTGCAATGCCAGCTTATTGGGAGGCTGAGGCAGGAGAATTGCTTGAACCCAGGAGGCAGAGGTTGCAGTGAGCCGAGATCACTGCACTCCAGCTTGGGCAACAAGATCAAAACTCCATCTCAGGAAAAAAAAAAAAAAAAAAAAGAAAGCTTGAGAGGCAATGCTTAGCTAAGTGGTTATCAGCCCAGGCTTCTCACTAGGATTACATGGCCAGTTTGCAGAAATCTCTTTACTTGTACCCTTTGCACAGGTTCTATTTATTGTTCTGGGTGGAAGCATCCATATTGTTTTAATTAAGTGCCTCATGTGATTCTGAGGTGAGGCCAGAATCAACTATGAGGGGTTTAAGATACGTTTAGAAGAGTTAAGTTCCACCTTTGCACTAAAGGGTGGTCACAGGGCCTGTTCTCTTTTGGGTTTGGTGGGGATAGGACAGTATGGCCCTTATTAGAAGAAATTGCTAGTGTCTGTGGCAAGACAGGGCATCTGAGGACAGAAAAAAAGACAGGATTTTTGGTTTGTTTTGAGACAGTCTCGCTCTGTCACCCAGGCCGGAGTGCAATGCTACGATCTTGGCTCACTGCAACCTCCGCCTCCCGGTTTCAAGCGATTCTCCTGCCTCAGCCTCACGAGTAGCTGGGACTACAGGCACGTGCTGCTACGCCAGCTAATTTTTGTATTTTTAGTAGAGACAGGGTTTCACCATGTCGATCAGGCTGCTCTTGAACTCCTGACCTCGTGATCTGCCTGCTTTGGCCTCCCAAAGTGCTGGGATTACAGACGTGAGCCATCATGCCTGGCCAACAGTTATATTTTTATCTCTATGGAGTAGTTTATTGTTCCTGAATCTCTTCTGTTATAAAGGACAGAAATAAGTGGGCCTTTTCTGCAGGTTTTGGTTTTGCCTGTGGGTGTGGTGGTGTCAGGTAAACAGTTGGTGCTGACACCTTTAAAAGCATATTCTCAAGATACAGGTGTAATTCATCCAGAGAATCCCATCTGAGAAGGAATTCCAGAGAAGGAGAAAGGAAAAAATCACATTTTTGTTGGTTGTTTTTGTTTTTCAGATGGACTCTTGCTCTGTTGCCAAGGCTGGAGTGCAGTGGTACGATCTCTGCTCACTTTAACCTCCATCTCCTGAGCCCAAGTGATTTTCCTGCCTCAGCCTCCTGAGTAGCTGGGAGTACAGGTGCATGACACCACGCCTCGCTAATTTTGTATTTTTAGTGGAGACAGAGTTTTACCATGTTGGCCAGGCTACTCTCAAACTCCTGACCTTGTGATCTGCCTGCCTCAGCCTCCCAAAATTCTGGGATTATAGGCATAAGTCACCACACCTGGCCAAAAATTACTTTATAAAGCTAAATGTGTCTCAGATCAAGAGCTGTGTCCACTCTGCCTCCTGTAGTGCTGTGTGTTTTGTACCTGCAAACCTTTACTTCTCTACTTGTGTTTTTCCTCCTTAGTGGTTTAACTCCTTCAAAGTATGATAGTCAAGGGTCTCTGAAAAATATTTCTTTCCTATATACAAGACCTTTCTTTACATTCTCTACATCTTGGCTTCTATGCTGTGCAGAATTTACACCATGAATTTATAATCTGCAATATTGAAAATGTTCCCTTTATGGCAGGTGCGGTGGCTCACACCTATAATCCCAGCACTTTGGGAAGCTGAGATGGGCAAATCATGAGGTCGGTGGTTGAGACCAGCCAGGCCAACATGATGACACTCCATCTCTACTAAAAATACAAAAATTAGCCGGCCTGGTGGCAGGTGCCTATAACCCCAGCTACTCGGGAGGCTCAGGCAGGAGAATCGCTTGAACCCAGGAGGTAGAGGTTGCAGTAAGCCAAGATCAAGCCACTGCATTCCAGCCTGGGCAGCAGAATGAGACTGTTTCAAAAAAAAAAAAAAAAAAAAAAGGTTCCCTTTGTGGATATTGAACATGAGAAAGAGTGGATTCTCAAGATCTTTTTTATTTATTTTTTTTTTTTGAGACAGTCTTGCTGTGTCGCCAGGCACCAGGCTGGAGTATAGTGGCGCAATCTCGGCTCACTGCAATCTCCACCCCCTGGGTTCAAGCAATTCTCATGCCCCAGCCTCCCAAGTAGCTGGGACTACAGGCACGCGCCACCACACCCAGCTAATTTTTGTATTTTTTCAGTAGAGACAGGGTTTCACCATGTTGGCCAGGATGGTCTTGATCTCTTGACCTTGTGATCCACCTGCCCTAGCCTCCCAAAGTGCTGGGATTACAGGCGTGAGCCACAGCGCCCGGCCCTCTCAAGATCTTTATTAGGGAAGAGCTGGGGTCCTTAGTAAAGATGGAGGACTTGTAATGTTGAAGTTCCCTCTCTGTTCTTCATTAGCTGTATGAAGAACACAATTTTAAATTGCTTATTTGAACAGGATGGCATTTATTACCCAGAAAGTTCTGAAAAAGAATTATTGGGAAATACCTGCTTTCTAGGGTGCTAAGGAGATACTACTTAAAATCACTATGAAAAATTACAGAACAAAAGAGAGATCTCCTCCATCTTGAACTTTACATAGAACTGATGTTTCTTTGTAGTTAAATTCAGACTGTACTTTTGGGGGAAGATATTCTAGCAGTGATACTGTGTTCTTCTGTGTGTATCAGCACTTTATAAAAATCTGTCCTGGGCCGGGTGTGGTGGCTCACGCCTGTAATCCAAGCACTTTGGAGGCTAAGGCGGGCAGATCACCTGAGGTCGGGAGTTCAAGACCAGCCTGACCAACATGGTGAAACCCTGTCTTTAAAAAAAAAATTAAAAAAAAAAAAAATCTGTCCTAGTGCAGTTGATGTTAATGATTCACTTGGTTAAAGAGCTCCCTGACAGATGTATTTCACTATGGAGTTAATTATTTTTCTCTTCATTATTAAGTATCTTTATGTAGCTACTGTGTATACACTATCACATTTAATCTGGTAGCTTCTCTTCTTTTTTTGGTTTTCTTTGCACATATCTGTCTTTAGAAAATGAAACCACTCGGCCGGGCACGGTGTCTCAAGCCTGTAATCCCAGCACTGTGGGAGGCCGAGGCGGGTGGATCACGAGGTCAAGAGATCGAGACCATGCTGGTCAACATGGTGAAACCCCGTCTCTACTAAAAATACAAAAAATTAGCTGGGCATGGTGGCGCGTGCCTGTAATCCCAGCGACTCAGGAGGCTGGGGCAGGAGAATTGCCTGAACCTGGGAGGCGGAGGTTGTGGTGAGCCGAGATCGCGCCATTGCACTCCAGCCTGGGTAACAAGAGCGAAACTCCGCCTCAAAAAAAAAAAAGAAAATGAAACCACTCATCTTTGTTTACAGGCCAGATAAACTGGGAAAAACACAGGTGCTTCTGCTTACTGGTTGTTTGACAAAATATTCTTCTTGGGTTCTTGGGTTCTTCAGAACATTGACATTACTGATGGTCTTATTAGAAATTCAGAAACTCAAACTTTATTCCAGATCTTCTGAAAAAATAATCTGCATTAACAAGACCTCCAGTTTGTTGTACCCATTAAAATGTGAGAGGCATCTTCTAACCCAAAACTTTTTTTCCATCTGAAAAATATACACAACTCATTTTGTATGATGTAAATATAGCAGTAAAAAAGTGTACATATTTGGGTGGGGTGCAGTGGCTCACGCCTGTAATCCCAGCACTTGGAGAGGATGAGGCAGGCACATCACCTGAGTTCGGGAGTTCAAGACCAGCCTGACCAACATGGAGAAACCCCGTCACTACAAAAAATTACCTGGGCATGGTGGCATGTACCTGTAATCCTAGCTACTCCAGAGGCTGAGCAGAATTGCTTGAACCCAGGATGCAGAGGTTGTAGTGGGCCAAGATCACACCATTGCACTCCAGCCTGAGCGACAATAGAGAAATTTGTCTCAAAAAACAAACAAACAAAAGTACGTATTTGCGTTCATGCTCATAACATATATTCACTGATGTAGGTCTTAGGTCACTTTCTTTTCTCATAGAGAATATATTAGATAATATTTCCGTGTTTAAAAATATTTAATTAGATAATTTTAGTTACTCCTGTAAGTTATAACCAGTTCTCTTTAGTGTCGCATTTCACCTTGAGTCAAATTGAAAATTCTGCCCATGGTTGTTACAGAATATCCAAGAGACCGGAGAGACTAATGGGTGAAACGATTTTATTGAGGTGGCCACCGGCTCAGAGGATTAGCATTCTAAGTGCGAGCCCTGGGAGAAGAGAATGGGGTACTTTTATACATCCAGGATTACATAGCAGCTAACAGGTTTACAGAAGTGAGAACAAAGAACAATTAATTTGCAACATGTCTTATGATATGTGTTACATTTAAAAAATAGCTTTTTGAGAAATGCATTGTACATTCTTTGGGTGTTATCTTGCCCTTTGACCTTGCAGCTGGTTAGCAAGAGAAACGGGAGTCCTGAGATACCCGGGAACTTTGCTGAGAATGTGGGGAGAATAGATAAGATAGGTTTTACAGGGATTTAATTTTAAGTAGAGCTGGGGGTTAGGTTTTATATTAAACGGCACACAACACACCAAAATTTACTTTATTATGTAGCAACTATAAATAATAAGGTTTTGTTTTACTATTCTTGATATTATTTAATTCCCTTCTTCATGATCACTTGGTAAATGTGTGTATGTTTTTCAGGGACCATTGACATTTATGGATGTAGCCATAGAATTCTCTCTGGAGGAGTGGCAGTGCCTGGACACAGCACAGAAGAATTTATATAGAACTGTGATGTTAGAGAACTACAGAAACCTGGTCTTCCTGGGTAAGGATAACTTCAAAACACAATTCCTAATATGTCCTAAAGGTTTCATTTCTCTTCATTGTAGAATGTTTTCTGGCAATCTATGCTTTACGTAAATAAGTGTCAGATCCCTGTTTTTAGGAAAATTTGGGATTTGTTCATGTAGATTTTTGTTTCATTAATCTACTAATTTTTCTGAAAACTTGCCAGCTTTATCAATATGAAACAGTCACGTCTTTCCTTATAATTATATTTTAACATAGATATAGTGGGAATAAAATAATGGAAAGAAAACCCTGCTCATTTCCCCAATGTACACTACAACAGCAAAATTATTTTTATTCGTGATTTGTACTACTGCAGGGTGGCAAGCAGGGGTGAAGTTATTGGGGGGAAAGGGGTGGTGGGAACAAATGCCAGAACCAAAACACAGACGTGTGAACAATACCTACTCTAAAAGCAAAACAACAAATAAAGGAGAGAAGGAGAGGAGAGGAAAAAAGAGAAGAGAAAGAAAGGGGATGGGAAGGGAGGAGAGAAGAGAGGCTCTCAAATAGTGCTACAGGTCTTAGACCTTTTAGAATCTTTAAAAGAAAAAATTATTGCTATCAACATGCCACATATCATTTTTCTTTCTCCAGTTTTTTACATTAATATCCTCTGCTTATTTGAAAAAAAAAAAACAAAACTAAAACTAAAATAACTCAACATCTCAAATGATCTATAAATTCACCAGGAAACACTCTGTCACTTAAGTTCTCATAGATAATAAAACACTGATAACGATCTGGGACAATGAAACTTCCGACCAGTGTTTGCGGTTGATTGTTTATCAGCTGCTCCTCTATAACACTAACATTTCTCTTTCACGAATATAACCTGGTCTCACTACATCAGAGCTCGCCAAGGTTCATGTCCCTCACTCCGCTTCTGCTAGTCCCAAATGTTTTTCTCCTTTAAATGAAAAAAAAAAAAAAAAAAAAAAAAAAAAAACCTAATTTTAAATTCTGAAAATTCACTGGTTATTATATTATTTGCCATGGGAGGGAGGTATGTGTGAGGTGAGAGAGGATTAATGAAAAACAAAAAAAACACACCTAAATAGCAACATACACAGAAATTTATTTCCAAAATGAATGGGAAAAAGGAGAGAAGAGGAAGGTAGTAGCACTAACCAAAGTCATAAAGCCAGGTTGGAACAAGAACAAATTACTGTGGTTCCTAGAGCCGAACTGAAGAGAAGACAGGCAGAAGGGAAGACAAGATTGGAAGAATTCTGTAGTCAATGGGAATCTTTTTCTATCTCAATGATTTAGTTATAAATATAGATTATTAGTCTTCTCTCTATACATGTAACAAATGCCAAACTTACTACCACAAAATTACTAAAACTGACTTTTTCACATTTGTTAAAAAAGGTAAAAATCACATAATTTTCTTCCCTTCCTTCAGGTCAAGTTCTGAACTAAAATATTACACGTAACAACAGCTAGTCCTAACTTTTAAACAAAGTGAAATCATATAGAGCTCCTTTGCCAGCATAAGGAGCTACATAATTTCTGTTACACTTGCCTAGGCATGAGAAACTTAACAGCAACTCAAAAGGTGGAAGTTAAGGAAAGGAAAGCTATGAAGCAGAGAAAGACTATCAGATGAAACAAATACTCTGAAAAACTCAAATCTGCCATTCAAGTATTGAAAATACCCCAGAGGGGACAATTAATGGGATCTATTACAACAAAGTCAGCAAAGTAAAATGCAAATCTCACTCATGATAAATGGTCTTGATAGGCTGTTTGCTGAAAGACCTAAGGCTGGTGATTCAGTCCACAATTCCTTTTGGACCCTCAAGAAGGGGTTCATTTGAAAGTCATAATTTCCTTTTTGCAATTTTCTCTTTGTTGTCTTCAGAGAATAGTCATTTCCTTCTTTCTTTTATTTATTTTTTTTATTTTTTATTTTTTCTAACACGGGGTTTCACCATGTTGGTCAGGGTGGTCTTGAACTCCTGACCTCAGGTGATCTGTCCACCTTGGCCCCCAAAGTGCTTGGATTACAGGTGTGAGCTACCACGCCCGGCCTCATTTCCTTCTTTCATCCAGGTTATACAGACCGTTTCCTTAAACCCCAAAAAGGGTAATAATTTTCATATACTAAAAGGCTTCTTTTAGAAAATGGGAAAAAGAATATGAGGCCACAGCAGTGATGTTAACAGTTACTCTTCATTGCTTCTTTAGCTGCCATGATCAGTGATGTCAAGCTAGATAGTGGTTTGGCCAGTTTCAGGAAAGGATGCTGTAATAATTCTTTGGCTGAACCCCTTTTTTTCCACATCCATTTCCAAACATCGATTTAAGAAATCCTGGAATATTGGGGAAAGTTTCCGTGGATTCTAAAGTTCTGGGATTCCATTAATTGCTATTAGGTAAAAGATCCTCAAGGGATTTTCACTAAGGTATGGAGGCTCTCCTTCTACCATCTCAATAGCCATGATACCCAGAGACCATATGTCAGCTTTACGGCCGTAAGCTTTCTGTGTATCCATCTCTGGTTCCATCCAGTATAGTGTTCTGACCATGGTATTGCCTTTGCTTTGCTCTGGGGTGATCTGGGCACAGAAACCAAAGTCAGTAAGCTTAACTGATCCTTCCATTCCCAAAAGTACATTGTCACTTTTGATGTCTCTGTGGATCACTTGATTAGCATGTAAAATAGATCACTCTCTGCATACAGCAGCAATCTGTGCTTCCTCCATGCAGGTTTCTGTTACAACATCACTAAGTGATCCACCAGCAAGGTACTCCCATTACCACAAACAGTTTACCTCCTACTAGGTAATTGTCCAAGAAGTTAAATATGTTGGGATTTTTTAATTCTTTCATCACCAGAATCTCGTTAATGATCAATTCCTTCTTTGGCTGTTTCTGTAAATCTGTTTGATAGCAACCTCTTGTCCCAGTGAGTCAGTAGCAGTGAAAACTGTACCAGAAGCCCCTTGTCCAATTTTTTCATATCTTGTATATTGTTTCTTACGGTCACCTATGCTCACAGTAGTTCTTAATTTTTCCATAATCTCTTCATCTGTCATCTTAGTCTTCTTTTCCTGTTTGCCTGGAGACTTGGCACCGCCATCAACATTTGAATCACCAACTGGTGCAGAAACGGTCAGTTACAGACCGTGTGTAAATGGATTTTGTATGATCTGGTCCTGGGGCAGTAACAGGAGGAGCAGTCTCTTCATCGTCATCGTCTTCCCCTGTCACTACTGCTGATGTTTCTGATCCCTTGGCATTCGGGGTGGTGCTGCAGAAGGGAAGTCATCTTTCTCAGGAAGAGTGAAGCTCAGATATTTCTGCTTCACTGTGTTGAAGTCGTAGAACTGTAAGACACCCAGCACAGCCTGAGGATTCTTTTGCTCTAGTTTGGTGATATTGGAAGTTTGTAGTAATCGAGCCCACTGTTCTGGCATGCCAGTGAATTCTCCGGTAACAGCATCAAGGCCAACATGGATAATGTGTTCAAAATCAGATGGAGGAGAAATTTCTGGCCATTCCTTTTCTTTCTTTTTACTTCCTGTCTCTGTGCCTGAGAATATGGAGATGATTTTATTCCTGGGCTTTTTCTCCTCTGGAACAGAGGGCAAAGATTTCAAACTATGATTGGCTGACAAACGGTCTTTGCCTCCAGTGCTAAAAATGGTACTGCTCATTCGCACCGGAGGTGCTGGAGGCTCGTTTTCCATTTCTCCTTTATCAGACATGATTCAGAATTGTGAAATGGCCCTAGGCGAGCCAAGGTCCCCACCCCAGCCAGGCACCTTGGTTGGAGCTTGGCGGGAACGCTGCGGAGCCGTCCCGGGCCAGCACCAGGCACAAGGAGGGGAGAGGAGGGAAGGGGAAGCTGGGTGGGAAGAGACATCCGCTGGAGCAGCTGCTGCTACTGTTAGGCCCAGCTGAGGGGAGCCCTGTGACCACCAGGGAGGGGAAGGGAGGGAGCCTTCAACAAGGGGAAGCGAAACCTCATGTAGATGTTTTATCTTGACCTGAACTTTCCACATTTCTGAGCTGATCTGTGTCCTTCACTCTAGATTAAAGGTAGTTCCAGAAATTTAGTGGCATAAAACATAGTTGCCCACACCTTAATTTTTGATTCAGTAGTACCAGGTAGTAAAATTAAGAATCTACACATTAAAAATATTTCAGTCCAGGTGTGGTGGCTCACACCTATAATCCCAACACTTTGGGAGGTTGAGTTAGGCAGATCGCCTGAGGTTGGGAGTTTGAGACCAGCCTGACCAACATGGAGAAACCCCGTCTCTACTAAAAATACAAAATTGCCTGGGTGTGATGGCACATGCCTGTAATTTCAGTTAGTTGGGAGCTGATGCAGGAGAATAGCTTGAATCCAGGAGATGGAAGTTGTGATGAGCTGAGATCACGCCATTGCACTCCAGCCTGGGCAACAAGAGCAAAACTTTGTCTCAAAAAAAATTAAAATGTCTAAATATTTAGAAATTTCTGTTATAAATTAGTATTCTAAGATTAATTTGCCAGGATATTCTATTACATCTTCTTTACTGAGAAAATTACTAGGTCAATAACTGGAGAATATGAGCAAGATTCATGTTATTTATTTATTAAAAAAACAGGTGTTTCTGTATCTAATTTAGACCTGATCACGTGTCTGGAGAAAGGAAAAGAACCCTGGAATATGAAGAGATATAAGATGGGAGCCAAACCTCAAGGTAAGTAAGAGTGAATACAACACATGACACAGATAAGACGTCCTATGGTGAAAGATAAAGTCGGTCCTTAAAATGTGGCTTGTGAAGCTGTGTTCCAAAGAAAATAGTTTCTGGACAGCCGGGTTGTTTTTGTTTTTGTTTTTGTTTCTTCAACATAGGAACATCTTCTCTCTTATGCTTTATTATTATTATTGTTGTTTTTGAACAGAGTCTTACTCTGTCACCCAGGCTGGAGTGCAATGGCACAGTCTCAGCTGCAACTTCTGCTTCCTGGTTTCAAGCAATTCTCCTGCCTCAGCCTCCCAAGTAGCTGGAATTACAGGCACCTGCCACCATGCCCAGCTAATTTTTTGTTTTTAGTAGAGACAGGATTTCACCATGTTAGCCAGGCTGGTCTCAAACTCCTCACCTCAGGTAACCTACCCGCCTCAGCCTCCCAAAGTGCTGGGATTATAAGGGTGAGCCATGTCTTATGCTTCTAAATTCTTTAATGATTATACTTTCCCTTTGGTGATCTTCCTTGAAGCTTACAGTAACAGCCAAAGTCCTCCTCATGGCGTGTAAGAGACTGCACAATCTGACTCCTTTTCCATTGTTTTTCGGAACACACAAATATCTGCATATTTTGAGAAACTCAAATGTTTGTAAGTTCTCTTGTTGCATCATGTCTGAAATGTGTGTGAGTAGTGGTTTCTGTTCCATTGGTTTTTAAATTTTTCCGCACATTGCATCTTGTTTTTTATTACCAGAGTCTTGAAATATAGTTTGAAATTATAAAGTATGATGGCCCTCTCCTTTTTTTTTTTTTTTTTTGAGACAGAGTTACTCTGTCACCCAGGCTGGAGTGCAGTGGTGCGATCTCAGCTCACTGCAACCTCCGCCTCCTGGGTTTAAGCAGTTCTCCTGCCTCAGCCTCCTGAGTAGGTGAGATTACAGGCATGCACTACTATGCCCAGCTAATTTTTGTAAAAACTAACATATATTGCTGGGCTCAGTGGCTCATGCCTATAATTCCAGCTATTTGGGAGGCTGAGGCAGGAGAATCTCTTGAACCTGGGAGACGGAGGTTGCAGTGAGCTGAGATCTTGTCATGGCACTCCAGCTGGGCAACAAAGAGTGAAACTTTCTCCCAAAAAAAAAAAAAAAAAAAAAACCCATATATTTAAAACATAAAATATTAATTTTAGTTTATTTTACATGCTTATTTATTTAAAGATTCTCAATAGAATCTTCTATTTATAATTATACTGCATTTTGTCTGAAATTTTCCTGTATGCAGTACATGCCAATGATTCAAAATACCTCCCTTCCATGAGTACACAATTATAGTCAAATATTGTAGTTATCTAGACAAATTCTTTTTCTTTTTTTTCTTTTTTTGAGACAGAGTCTGCTGTGTCCCAGCCTGGAGCACAGTGGTGCAATCTCGGCTCACTGCAACCTCTGCCTTCCAGGTTCAATCAATTCTCCTGCCTTAGCCTCCCAGTAGCTGAGATTACAGGTGTGTACCACCATGCCTGGCTAATTTTTTTGTTTTTTTTTTGGAGACGGAGTTTCGCTCTTGTTACCCAGGCTGGAGTGCAATGGCGCGATCTCGGCTCTCCGCACTGCCTCCTGGGTTCAAGCAATTCTCCTGCCTCAGCCTCCTGAGTAGCTGGGATTACAGGCCCGCACCACCATGCCCAGCTAATGTTTTGTAGTTTTTTAGTAGAGACGGGGTTTCACCATGTTGACCAGGATGGTCTCGATCTCTTGACCTCGTGATCCACCCGCCTTGGCCTCCCAAAGTGCTGGGATTACAAGCGTGAGCCACCGCGCCCCGCCTAATTTTTTGTATTTTAGTAGGAATGGGGTTTCACCATATTAGCCAGGCTGGTCTCAAACTCCTGACCTCAGGTGATCCACCTGCCTTGGCCTCCCAAAGTGTTGGGATTACAGGCCTGAGCCACCACGACTGGCTGACAAATCCTTTTTTAGTGGTGCATCAATGTTGCGTGCCAGATTTTATGAGTAAAAATTTCTTATTATTTTTATGCAGTTCCATGTTAATGTGTTTTTTCAGTGTAGTTTCTTAACATCAGTCTATTGTATTTTTTGATTTTAGTTATGTATTATAGACAATTTGCAATTCTGTATACTTTAAGGTCAATGTGAGGTTCAATTGAGAGATAAATTAGCCATATGTTTATCACGATCAAATTATATATGTGTATGTATTTATCTATAAATATGATCCCAATTTTGGTTACGGCTTATCTTGCATATATTCTTTCTTAGCTGATTTACAATGGTTGTTTTATCTTGTCTAAGTGAATAGTAATAGAAATAGTCTTATTTTCACCATGTGTTTAATGATAAATATGTATTTCCCTTGAGAGAAACACTTTTATGATTCGAAGGTCATTTTTGAAAAGATTTATAATTCTGTATTTTTTTCACTTTTTCCTTTAGAAAAATTGTTGTAAAAACACATAATATGAAATTTACCATCTTAAATTTATTTAAGTGTATATTTCAGGGTCAGACATAGTGGTGGCTCACATCTGTAATCCTAGGATTTTGGAAGTTTAAGACAGGAGGATTGGCCAGGCGCGGTGGCTCACACCTGTAATGCCAGCACTTTGGGAGGCCGAGGTGGGTGGATCACCTGAGGTCAGGAGTTCAAGACTAGCCTGACCAACATAGTGAAACCCCATCTCTACTAAAAATACAAAAAATTAGCTGGGTGTGGTGGCGGGCACCTGTAATCCCAGCTACTAAGGAGGCTGAGGCAGAAGAAATCACTTGAACCCAGGAGGCGGAGGTTGGTTATGGTGAGCTGAGATTGTGCCATTGCACGCCATCCTGGGCAACAAGAGCGAGACTCCATTCCCCCCAAAAAAAGACAGGAGGATCACTTGAGCCCAAAAGTTTGACACCAGCCTGGGAAACATATCGTGGTTCCCTCTCTACAAAAATTTTTTTAAATAGCCAGGCATGGTGATGTGCACCTTGTGATCCCAACTACTTGGGAGATTGAGTGGGGAGGATTATTTGAGTCTGAGAGTTTGAGGCTGAAGTGGACCATAATTGTTCTACTACACTCCAGGTTGGGTGACAGAGTGAGACTCTATCTCAAAAAGAATCTGTACATTTCAGATATGTTACGTATATTCACATTAGGCCAGGCGCGGTGGCTCATGCCTGTAATCCCAGCACTTTGGGAGGCCGAGGCAGGCAGATCATGAAGTCAAGAGATCGAGACCATCCTGGCCAACATGGTGAAACCCCGTCTCTACTAAAAATACAAAAGTTAGCTGGGTGTGGTAGTGCGCGCCTGTCGTCTCAGCAACATCTTGTGAAACTAAAAGTTGATACCTGTCAATACCCATTAAGTTACAAAAACCTATTTTACCATCTCTGCAGCGCTTGACCAACACCTTTCCATTTTCTGTTTTTATGAGTGTGACCACTTGAGATATGTCATAAGTGGAATCATATACTATTATTTTGTTACTGGCTTATTTCAGGTGATATATTATTCTAAAAGTTTACTTTAAAATGTGACAATTTTTTCTTTTTAAAATTTTTAAAATTTTATTTTATTTGTTTACTTTTTTGAGATGGAGTTTCACCCTTGTTGCCCAAGCTGGAGTGCAGTGGCGCGATCTTGGCTCACTGCAACCTCCACCTCCTGGGTTCAAGTGATTCTGCTGCCTGAACCTCCCACGAAGCTGAGATTACAGGTGCCCACCACTGCACCCGGCTAATTTTTTTTATTTATAGTAGAGACAGGATTTCACCATCTTGGCCGGGCTGGTCTTGAACAGGAGTCCTAGTGATCTGCCCGCCTCGGCCTCCCAAAGTGCTGGGATTACAGGTTTGAACCACCATGACTGTCAAAAATTTTCTTTTTTAAGACCGAATAATATTCCATTGTGTGTATATGTTACATTTTTTGATGTGTTTATAAATCAAGGGACATCTGGGTTGCTTCAGCCTTTTGGTTTGGCTTTTGTGAATACTGGTATAATAAACATGAATGTTTAAATTTTATTTTCATTGTATCATCAATAGATTTGGTGTTTTTAAAAATTTAGGCTGGACGCTGTGGCTCATCCCTGTAATTCTAGCACTTTGGGACGCCAAGGTGGGCAGATCACCTGAGGTCAGGCTGGCCAACGTGGTGAAACCCCGTCTCTACTAAAAATACAAAAATTAGCCCAATACAGAGGTGGGCACCTGTGAGTCCAGCTACTCAGGAGGTTCAGGGAGGAGAATTACTTGACCCTGGGAGGCAGAGGTTGCAGTGAGCTGAGACCGTGGCATTGCCTACCACAGCCTGGGGGACAAGAGCAAAGCTCTGTCTCAATAAAAAAAGTACCCATTCTAATGAGTGTGAGGCAGTTTTGTTTCTTATTGTTATTTTTATGTGTTTCTCTACAAAATATTAATTTCGCATTTCCTTTCAAGTGCTTTTTCTCATTTGTATATCTTTTGTTTTGTGTTGTTTTTGTTTTATTTTTTGTTTTTTGAGATGGAGTCTTGCTCTGTTGCTCAGACTGGAGTGTAGTGGCACAATCTCAACTCACGGCAATTTCCACTTCCTGGATTCAAGTGATTCTCCTGCCTCAGACACTCAAGTAGCTGGGAGCACAGGTGCACACCACCATGCCTGGCTAATTTTTGTATTTTTTGGTAGAGACAATGTTTTACCATATTGCTCAGGCTGGTCTCGAACTCCTGACATCATGATCCGCCTACCTTGGACTCCTGAAGTGCTGGCACTACAAGTGTGAGCCACCGTACCTGGCCTTGTGTATCTCTTTTGATAAAAATTTATATATATATTTTTTTGCAAATCAAGTTATTCAACTTTATTGTTAAGTTTTAAAAGTTGTTTATATATTCTGAATATTAACTCCTACCACAAGCGATTTGCAAATATTTTCACCTATTTCCTAGGAGGCATTGTTTATTGATTTTTTTTTTTTTTTTTTTTTGATGTGCAGAAATTTTAA